GCACAACCGCTGCCATTTTGGGGACATAACTGAACAGTAGAAACTTCATTACACAACTCCCGGGATGGATCAAACGCAAATGCCGCAGGGCCCCGGGATGGAGCGATTCAGATACCTGGCAGTCCACAGGTTTTGGACGTCTTCGCTAGTTTCGGGATCCACGGTTCCTAGAATTTTGCATGTTTGTCAGCTAGAGTTTTTGCACTTTCTCGAATTCAAAAACATGCGTCAATTACATTTTTTTGGCACTGATCTCGGATCATCTAACAATTTTGGAAACAACTTGGCATGCAGAAACAAGGCGACCTGGTTACTGTCAGGAAATGACGTTTTTGCAGGGCGACCATCTTCAGAAGCCAAACTGACTCGAAATCTCACTCAACCACTGGTTTGTTCAGGAACCACATTCAAGGGTTCATTCTTGAGTCCTATAATACAAGATTATGCAAGTTTGCACGGTAGAGGATGATAACTGGAACATACTGGAACTATATTGGCAAGACAATGCATACCATTGCATACCTTTTCTTCTTCCCAAAGGTGTTGCGGGATTTTGGTGTGAGCCATTGCCTGGAGCGAAAACACCCACACAAGTTCTGCATCGTTCTCGTCCTGTCTTCGCTTGATGATGATGATGATGATGATGATGATGAGATGAGGATACAGCACTCACATGAGATCAACAATGGGTGTGGATCCATTCCAAGCACCCCAAAACTGTCAAATCTCAAATCACTTGTGGACGTATGCACCGGCGCAGGGGGCTGCTTGGATGACCGGCATATGCGGCTGAACGCTTGGGCCTGGCTCTTTATGGCTAAAGGCCGAAGTGGCCAAAGTGTTTTTTCGTTTTTCACTGCCATCCTTTCCCAAGCGACCCCATTCCGTTCTGGCCAAATCGACCCCCATGTTAGAGATTTTGAGAGTAACCATAAAAGACGCTTGAGAAACGAAATTGCCATTATTGGCCCAGAGATTTCTGGCTTATTTGAAGATGTTCAAGGGTGTGAAGGTCTTTACGCGGTCAGCAGCTAGTTTCATCACTCGTGGAAACTCCCAATTTTTTGTGTATGGATTTTTCCTTCATTTCTCGGTGTCTGCGAGTCTCCAACGAATCCTTAGTTTTTCACCCTTGTTGTGTCGAAAAGGCGAGCTGAGTCCATAAATCACTGCCCTCGTGGAGTTGGAGGTGAATAGACGAGTCTGGACACCGGTTTTGAGCCACCGTGATGCCAATGTGCATGTCTATGTCGATGAGGGACCGACCAAACCTCCTTGATGAGACATTGTTGAGAAGGGAGAGTAGTAGGCAAACACGTCTTAATCTGTTCAGACAGCCTCCAAGCCCAATCTTCAGCAGCCTTTCGGGCCGTCATCATTCAATGTTTTGTGAAACTTTAAAAGAACTGTTATTCCCAGGGTCCCAGACAGTGTGTCTCTAGTCTAGGAGTGCGTCAGTCAGTGCCCATGGCTTCTGCCCTTGACCTCCCCCCAGCCTGTTAGTCACGTAGTTCGACCACCCACCAAAGCGTTCTACAAATGCCGTCAGAAAGTCATGCAGTGAAGGGGATGTGTTTCTTCGTCTGAAACGTGATGCCATCTATTGAAGACCGAGGAGACAGCCCGACCGGATCTCCACGAGTAGAGTCCGAAAATGAGACGTGACGCTCTGCCCAGGCATGCCAGTGATCACGTGGGGCGATGAGCAGGGGAACAAGGTGGGCGGAGGATGAGCGGGGACATGAGGAGGATGGGGGTGCTTGGTTCCCGTTGCTGTACTGGTACAAGGTGAAAGGTTTTGAATGTTCGAAAGATAGTGTTTCGCTTTTGCGGAGAAGCAGAAAGCCAAAGTGAGCTCTTCATGGACAGGTTGACCTTGTTTCACCACACTTCCCCCACAACACAACAGATTCTTGACATGACTTGTCCTCAATTGTTGTGTTTTAACGGTCCACACCCAGTCCGCTCATCCCCTGCAGCCTGCAGGGGTGGAGTAGTGGTCCGCCTGTCCAACGCAGTAGTGGTCCTGCGTCACAGACTCACCCTCGGTCTTGTCCTCATTTTCACAAGTACTTAAACTTATGGGTGGTTGTGTGTGGAATTTGCTTCTTGATGGAAACCAAGGGAAAGCAAGATTGATTGGACTGTCTTCATGGAGCATCAGAAGGATTCTAGAATGCTTTCTCATAGGCAAGGACAGAACGAACAAGCAGAGGAGAGAGGTCTTTTTCGTCTAGAGATGCCTAAGTCTGACTTAAAAACGTCATGAGTTTTGTCTTGTCTCTAGACATGGTCTAACACGTCTTCTTGTCATGGTGACAGTCTGAATCCAGGGACGTCACTGACGTCACTGACGTCACTGCAAAAGATGGTTCTCGGTTTCGCAGGATGCCTGTCGACGTCGACGTCCGCAGACGACCTCCCGTCTTGCAGGTCGTCTTCACGTCCTTTCTGCCTTTTGTTTTTTTTTTTTTTTTTTCCCGTTCTTTTTTGTTGTTTCACATCATTAGATATTTTGTTTTTTTCTTTCCATCTTTCTTTCTTTAGTTTGGACAATCCCAGATCCAAGTCCCATCAGACCCATCCAGAATCGTCTACCTTTTTCATCCATTCGGGTGAGGCAGAAGCCTCGTCGACAGGTCTTCCGGAATTCCTTGTGGCAGTTCAACTGGGACACAAGCCCATGGCAGTTGCTTGGGCTGAATCGGTCAACCGCACGGGAGAGGCGAAAACACCTGCTGGTGTTGACAACACCCTCCTCTTTTCTCGTTGTCTTGAGATGAAGGTCCTCATAGTCTTCACTGGGACATGAAAGACATAAACTTTTGCAAGGTGAGGAGATTGTACACCAGAGGATTTGCAGGGTCTTTGGACGAGAAGGGCTCACTAAAAAGGGCGCTGGAGAAAAGTTCCACAACTCTGTGAAAAGCTCAGAGGTTTCCAGACTGGAGAAGAGCCGCCAAGTGAAACGGCTTTCATCTCCAAAGAAGCGTCATAAACGACCACGGTGATGATTCGGGCAGTCCCAATTTGGGTGGTCAGAGTGGCTGAGAGGGCGGGACATGCTTTGGTCCGACCCCTTGGGCCTTGAGACTTCACGAGTTGCCTCTGGACTGTTCTCTTGGGCTTCAAGTCTCGTGGTTTTACTGTCAGACTTCTTGCCAGGAAGATCTGAGACATAAACCAGAACAAGAGAACCGGTTGAACGTCCCCAAGTCGGGATATTGGATCCTTTGAAAAGCCTTTTCATCCACTGGCAAATCTTCCACCTCGTTTCCTTTGCTTGACCAAAAACTGATCCTTTCGCCCATTGCCACGCCCACCTCCACTCCACGAGGTACAAACTTTTGAGGAGGTTGAACCAGATCCGTCCCTCGGCCGAGCTGCGGTGCTCCCGGACATCTCGACGAAGAGCCAGACGAAGAGATCGCATTGGCTCCATCGGTGAAACGCATCGATCATCTATCTTCAGATGAGTGATGAGTGAGTAGGTTCATTGAGATCATACCAAACAGGCATAGAAATCATACCCACATTGGATCCTTGAGAGTCTCTCAGACACAGTTTTGCTCGTGCCTTCGTCTTTGATGGCCGATCCTTTCCAACGGTGCACGAATGGTTTGGACCATCAATTCGTCAAGCGAGGTTTAGTGCAGAAAAAATCTTTGTGAGGTATCCCAAGTCCTTCCATCGCCGAAGCCATACCAACAGACATAACTGATATGAGAACATCATCATTGATTTATTGAACACACACATAACAGTAACAGTAGGAGTCGTTGGACCAGCTTCTTCTTCCCGAGCCGAGATCCTCCGGGGTCCATCTTCCCAAGGCCACGAGTATCGCCTGGACAAGACGAGGATGACGTTGAAGGTGACGGCGTGTGGCATCGGTTGTCCGCGGAGGGTCTCCTCAAAACACCGGAGGGTCTAGCGGCCGCTGAGGTCGCTACTTGAACCAGCAGGATCATTATTTGATATTATTTGTTTTACATCCGTAACTATACGGGTGGAGGACACTGTTGGACAAATTGCTGAAGACGCCTGAGACCAATGCATGAGATGTGTTGTCATCCAAAAAGAAGAACCCACCCAAATCCAGCATTAAAAAAAGAACCGTTAGCATAAAGAAAAAACTATTCCCATAATGACAGTTGGAAGCATCGCTATTAGGTGGAGGCCATCGTTATTAGGTTGGAAGACATTGCTATTAGGTTGGAGGCCATCGCTATTAGGTAGAGGCCATCGCTATCAGGTGGAGGCCATCGCTATTT